TGGACATATGTCCAGAACATTACAAGTCAGGATATGGCAAAGGCACTTGCACATTCATGTTCACTGCTGAACTATTCACAATAGTCATGTTGTGGAAAAAGCCCAGATATGCCAGGATAGATGCATGGATCAAAATTATGTAGTACATATACACCATAGAATTTTACTCAACCACTAGAAAGAATACTAGTATGTCATTTGCAGGGAAATGGATAGACCTAGAACAAATCATGTTAAGTGAAGTAAGCCAAGCTCAGAGAGACAAAGGACGTAGGTTTTCCCTAATATGTGGAATCTAAATCTAAAAATGGGGTGATATATATATATATATGTATACATATATGGGACTACAGGCATTCATACACTAACAGTCATACTATAGGAGGATAGTCTAAGGGAAGGAATACAAAGGCATAACTCGTGTGAACATTTAAAATACTATTTATTAAAATGAATTCTGGGAAATGAAAACATTCTGTATTTTGTTGTTGTTTTTGTTGTTGGTGGTGGTGTTTGTTTTTGCTCTTTTTTTGTTTTTGTCTTTCTACAAGTAAGGGCAGAAGGACACAAAAATGGATGGAGGAAAGTCAACAAATGTAGTTATGGTATTCACTATACACTGTGAAAAATGAAATATACAACTTGTAGACAGGGACAGAAAGGGGAAACTGGAATTAAGTGAGGGAAGGAGTGACACTGTACAAGTGGAATTGTATTCATTGCTCATTACCTGATTTATGCAACTATAACCCTGTGGATATTAACTCTATAATGACTATTTTTTAAAGTTCATTTAATTGTTACTATAAATAAATAGTCTTTGAATAAAAAATTGTATTTCTTAACTGATTTATGAAAAGGTAACCCTTTGTACAACATCTTAATACTAGCAACACATTCATATTTTTAAAAATTAAAGTTAATTATCAATTCTAATTTGCTCAGTGTAAAGACTGTAAATTAGTTTTCCTTCTATAATTATTAAACTAATTATAACTTCATATTTATCAAATAATATTAAAATGATTATGTTGTCAGAAATCAATCATCATTTTCTGTAAGTATTCTCAATTATACACCAACCACAACTTCAATTAGTAGAAAGTTTACATGACTATTACACTTTGAGAACTCATGATTCCACTTAAATGAGATAAGTTCTCTTCTGAACTCAAGGGAAACAAACATATTTATCTTAATAATTCCCCTGGAGATTAAGATCTCCAGCCTGAATCTTATGTAAGTGTCCTCTGTGTCCCTCTTGTTACATTTACTAACCCAAAGTCTATTTTCATGTCTTTATGACATGTTAAAAAACTGTCAGGTTAAAACTATTCCAATTTATATTCAGAGTTTCACTGTGTCTACATTTCTTTGAAGAAGCTATTCCTCAGCCCTAACTGGTAGGTTTAAATAGCAATGCTAAGAACACATTAGGCTTACATGCTTTAATAAAAGAAAAGACATTTTACATGGTTTATATAATTGAATGGAATATAATTTTCTAATCACAAAGCCAATATTAAAAGATAGGTTTGACCAAAATGAATATGGAAAATAATATTTAATGGCAGCAGAAACCTATGATGACTAAAAACCTATAGTCTGAAGTATTAGTTTTACAGTTTGAGCTTGAGTTTTGGAGATAGAAACCTGAATTAGTTTAATCCACATGATACATAAGAAAAAGATTACTTGAGCATGAGAAAATAATTTAACATTATTTTCTTCCTTTGTTAAATTAACATTTGTGACAAATCTGATATTCAATAAAACTTCAGATTAAAACTTGGAATGTACTCAGTTATTTTAATTTAGTATTACTTTGGTAATTTATGTTTTTCTTTTCTTCGGGGGATAGTTGTGGAATGTCATGAGTGATAAATGATTGATTTAAAGTCATTTGTATATATTTTTAACAATACCAATCTACTTACCTTTTGATTAGTACTACTAACATCCTCCTTTTGTTAATCTTTCAACATACTAGTCTTATTATTCTAAATCCTCTAGTATTTTTATATAGATTAAAATATATTATTGTGATTATGAATGTTTTATTATGTGAGAACAAAATTTTGGTGCATTATTTTAAATTTAGTATATTATTTTAATACAAAAAATACCTACACTCATTTTCCAGTTTTTTGACTTTTCACTTTTCATATTGCTCAGTGATAAAGTTTCATAAGAAACATAACAATTCTCATGATTTATAGAAATATGAGTGTTCTGTTTATACATTAAAAAAAACTGTTATACTTTTCCACATACAGTAACTTGGGTAGCTCAGTGATCATTTGGAAATACATTGACTAGTTAAAATAGACACACATGGTTGACATTTTAGCTTCCTTTTCCTAAGCAAGAAATTATAATTGAAAGGAATATTATCATTTTTTCATTTAAAGAATCACTTGAAAACCTTGGTATGCTTTTCCCACAGCAAAGATCATTCATTACATTCTCAAACAAAATTTGTTCTAGAACAAAGCCAATCACTACTGATCCAATTTTAGGAAGTCACAATATGTCATTTTATGTCTTTCTGGTTCAATTATATAAATCTACTTCTATTTTTCCATTGAGGTTTAAACTATTTCTATTTTTCCATTCCAGTATTCTTATTTACAGGTCTGAATAAAAGAACATCTTTTGAAAATATTTAGTATTTTTTCATATAAAATTGCAGTTATGAGTAATTTTATCAACCTCAACAATTTTCAGTCTTTATAAATAGAAATAGAAAGATACAAAATTTTGGAAATGTTTAATACAGTTATAAAACACTCTTAGAGGGCTGGGAAGGTGGCTCAGTGGTAGAGTGCTTGCCTTGCATGCATGAGGCCCTGGGTTCGATTCCTCAGCACCACATAAGCAAAAAGAAAAAGCCGGAAGTGGTGCTATGGCTCAAGTGGTAGAGCACTAGCCTTGAACTGAAGAGCTGAGGGACAGTGCCCAGGCCCAGAGTTCAGGCCCCACGACAGGACCCCAAAAAAAACACTCTTAGAAATGCTAATCAATGTTATTATTTGCTTTTAAATATGCAAGTATGATTATGAAAAACTAAAATCTTACAGGTTTAAATATTCTTTTCTGATGTTGTATTACAAGTTTTAAATATTAAGCTAACCATTTACTTTATCTTACGGGCCAATGAAGAAAGCAGTCTTGTGATTTTTCTCCTATTAATATTATGGTGAAAATTACATGGTTTTGAAATAATTTCATATGTAGTGTGCAGATGCATTACTGCATGGATGGAGATTCCAGAGATGAAAATAATTTTTTAGGATTAAAAACTTTGTAATTACGTAAAGCATATTAAACAAAGCACCATAGTTTAATCACTATTAACACATCATACAATCAAGAAAAATGAGATTAATTAAAAAACAAAATTTAATAAATGTAAATACACACACCAAATATATATTCAACAAAATATACCTTTTATTTGATATATTCTATCACTTAAAGCCTTTTTATAATCCACATGATTAAATACTGGGTTTATTTTATTATTACAAAAAAATTCAATATTCTGAGGAGTTACCAAATTTTCTTTATAAATCCTTAGACCCTGATTAGATCTTTAGTTTTTAGATAATTTTATTCAGATATGTTTATTAAAGAAAGCCTTCTCGTAATTGATAAACTCTTAAGCCAAACAATGAAAAGTCAGTCTAGTATGGTTTAATATCCATAAGTAAGATTTCTAAAGAGAAAAATCAAATAACAAAATATCCACATGAAAACTAATACATGACCCATAAGTGAGCTAATGGTTTCAGGTTACTGTGGGAAAGTATGGAGTACAAACATCAGGATGAATGAACTTGGATGTAAGTTTAAGTCCCTGTGCACAGTTTCAATGCATCTGAGGAGTATACTGGGAACAAAGAAGGGATGATCCACATTTAAGAGTCAAGCAAATGTAAATACTAGTACCAAAGTCTTGGTGGCTGTAGAAGACCTATATTAGTAAAGCATCCAAAGGGACATTAAAAGAAGCCAGAGACTGAATAGAAGAGTCCAGGAGTGTTTCTCAGATTAATTACAACTTTATTCCAGAAGAAACAAAAACCTCAACCCTAAGAAAGATTTATTTCCTTGCTCAAGAATTCTTAAAATGGCAATTAAATTATCTGAAAAGGACCCAGTATAAATATACAATAACTAAATCTTTAGGATAAATGAAATTATTACCATTACTTTTTTTAAAAGGTAGGTGAAATATACGTTAGCTTATAAAAGAGTACTAAATGAATTCACTTATAAAATGTTTGGTTGTATCCGAAACCAGTGGTTCAAGTCAAGAACCAGTAGCCTCTAGCTACACAAAAGGCTGAGATCTCAGGATTGCAGTTTAAAGCCAGCTTCTGCAGAAAAGTAAGTGAGACCCTTATCTTTGATTAACTACCAAAAAAGCCAGAAATGAAGCTGTGGCTCAAGTAGTAGAATGCTAGGCTTGAACAAAAAATCTAAGGAACAGAACTCTGGACCTGAGTGCAAACCCTAACAGCAACACACAAATAAATATAGAAAATGTGTTTTATAATTTAGCTCATGCGCTTATGTAGATACTTTATACAAGAGGGAAGAATGAGTAACAGGAACCATAAAATTCAATGATTATGTTCTTCACTTAGACTCAACAGTAGTTTGACTTGCTTTATTCATTGATCAAACTGGACTCTGATCATGAAATTATGATAAAGACAAGTACACAAGGGAATATAATACATATCTGAACATCAGCTGTTCAGAATTTGACAATAAATTTCTCATTTTTATGCCTTTCTGACAGAAAAAGTGTAGTACTGCCAATGCGATTTACACTAATTAAATGGCATTATTCTGCATAAATGTCCAATTTCTCTTTCTGTAGCAAAAATATTCTCTTTCTGTATGTCCATAGTTTGAAACCTACCACTTATTAACTTACCTTGTTTTCCAGATTTTCTTTCTTTACAGGCTCTTTGAAAAACAGCATCTAGATGGATAGAAAAAACAGCTCAATGATAGCTGAGTTTGTTTCGTTAGGGCTCACCAGCAGTTGGAAACTTGAAATTTTCTTTTTTTGCATATTTTTGGTGGCCTATGCAGCAATCATGGCAGGGAATCTACTCATTGTTCTCACTGTAACCTTTGACTCCCAGCTCCATTCAATACCAATGTACTTCCTCCTGGGAAATCTCTCCTTTCTTGATATGTGTATTTCTACAATAACAACCCCTAAGAGGATGACAGATTTCCTCAGGGAGACTAAAACTATCTCCTTGTGGGGTTGTATGACTCAGATGTTCTTCCTTCACTTCCTAGGGGGAAGTGAGATGACTCTTCTCATAGTCATGGCTGTGGATAGGTACATTGCAATATGCAAACTATACAGCCATCATGAACCACAGGGTGCTGGTGGGATCTGTGCTGCTGTCCTGGGCTGTTGGTTTTGTGCATACAATGAGCCAGATGGTCCTCGCTGTCACCTTGCCATTCTGTGGCCCCAATGTAGTGGATGACATATTTTGTGACCTTCCCCTAGTATTGAAGCTTGCCTGCACTGAGACCTATGTTCTGGAGTTGCTAGTGATTGCTGACAGCGGTCTGTTGTCTTTCATCTGCTTCATAATCTTGCTCATTTCCTACACTATCATTCTGGTAACTGTGCGCAGTCGCTCCTCAGCAGGACTCTCCAAGGCTCTGTCTACACTGTCTGCTCACATCACGGTGGTCACTCTGTTCTTTGGGCCCTGCATTTTCATTTACATTTGGCCATTTAGTAGCTTCTCAGTGGACAAATTTCTTTCTGTATTTTATTCAGTTATCACTCCCTTACTAAATCCCATTATTTACACTCTGAGGAATCAGGAGATGAAATCAGCCATGAGCAGATTGAGGACAAGACATGTGAGCTCCAGACAAACCTCATAGAGAAGAGTGAAGATGAAGACTTTTAGTGAAAAATCCTGTAAATTACATTTGAAATTTGGTTGCCAGTTCTTTGTTTTGTTTTGTTTTATAGATTTTTTAAAATAATTATATTGTATACTGAAATTTTCAAGTATATTTTCTTATTGTATTTGTATAACATTCATGGTGCAACTGAAAGTTATATTCACAGAAATTCATTTGTACTTTTTAATGTGATAGAGTGTTACAGAAATTGTTCTTTATATTTAGAAATCCAGAAATTTCTTAAATATCCTTTTTAAATAAAGAGAAATAATAGCTTTTTATGGCTCATCCCTGTAATCCTACATATTCAGGAGGCTTTAACCTGAGGATCACAGTTTGAAGCCAGCCTGGGCAGGACAGTCCATTAAACTCTTATCTCCAATTAACCACCAGAAAACTGGAAGTGGTGCTATAGCTCAAGTGGTAGAGCACTACCCTTGAGCAAAAGAGCTCAGGGACAGCATCTACACCCCAAGTTCAAGCCCATGACTGGCCAAAACAAAAGAAAGGGAGAGAGGGAGAAAAGGAAAGAAAGAGAGAAAGAGAAAAATAGAAAATGAGTTTGGTGTGTGTGTGTGTGTGTGTTTATTTTTAACTATGAGGCTCACTTTGGATTTTAAAGTAGTTCCTTTATGAGAAAAATAGTAGGAATGGACACAGAAAGAAAGGCGTGACAGGGGTGTATGAATATTGTAGAAGATACATATATACATACACACATATACATATATGTGTGTCTGCATAAATATATGTGTATCTATATAATACCAAATTGAATCTAGTGAAAAATAATTTCAATGAGGAAGAAAGGGGGTTGAGTAACAAATTTGATCAAAAAACATAATATCCAAATTGTAAATATCACAGTAAAGCACATTTTTGCAATTACAGATTTTTAGAAAGTTAAAATTTTTTTTAAGTGTTAATTATTCTAAACTCAAATATGGACAATTACATGTTGAACATGATAATGTGGAAAGATTATTATTGAGCTGGCACAATGATCATATTCATGAGTGATTGGTATGCATGAGAATTGCATAGAAAGTAGCTTCTGTGGATTTCTGAATTCAAATCACATCAAAACAGAAAATATGTAAGCTAGTTAAGTTACATTGAGGAAAGCTTAAGTTATACTAAATATTAATTTAGATGTGTGGTCCTTGGACATCATGACTAGGTGGCCCTTGCAGATTTCTAGCCACCATTATTGTTTCCCGCCTCTAAGGCAATGTGCCTGCCACACTAAGTAAAGCTAAAGGAAATTTAAAGGTATGTTTCTAGTCATATGGTCATGTAAAACTTTAAGTTCTTCTTTCAAATATCACATTGAGGATCATGGAAAATAGTTTTCTAGGATTACTAGATATATTTGCATTCATTATTTATGAACTATGTTGATTAGACAGTTAAATATGAAAACTAGCATAGCACTTCAATAACTTGCAAGAGTTTCCCACATTTGTTTCAGTTTATCTTTCACTATAAAAGTGCATTGTTAGAGATTTGAAAAAAACCTGCCCTGCCCTCCAAGTACTCCAAGTACAACTATTTACATTTCAGAAAGTATTACCAACTACATAGGTCATATTCTTTTTTTTATGATATAGATATGCTGGATTTTTATTTTTATTTTTAAAATTTATATATATATTTATTGCAAAAATACTGTACAGAGGGGTTACAGTTACATGAGTAAGGTAGTGAGTACATTCCCTATCAAGCATTGTTACCTCCTCCTTTGTTTTTCCCTACCATCCCTTCCCTCCCCAACCACCTGACATTGTAAAATTCGTTTTCAACATAGTGTCCTGTACATCTTAGCGTCACAATGGATCAACCTGCATCCCCATTTAAGCATCCTGCTATATCCCTTCCGCTCCCTAAATTACAAAAAAAATGTATATACATGATACAGAACACAGGAATCAAATACAGTGAAAACAAGTGTTAAGCCGGGCGCTGGTGGCTCACGCCTGTAATCCTAGCTACTCAGGAGGCTGAGATCTGTGGATCGAGGTTCAAAGCCAGCCCAGGCAGGAAAGACCGTGAGACTCCTGTCTCCAATAAACTAGAAAACCGGAAGTGGCCTTGTAGCTCAAGTGGTAGAGTGCTCGCCTTGAGCTGAAGAGCTGAGGGACAGCGCCCAGGCCCAGAGTTCAAGCCCCATGACCGCCAAAAAAAAAAAAAAAAAAAAAAACCAAAACAAGTGTTATACTGTGGGGGAAGAACATAAAAAATAAACAAAAGAATCATATAGTGCATTATAAATACATTAAAAAACAATAGCAAGAAAGTAAAAACCACTTATGTCTCTGTCTTGGGGTATATTTTGCTTAACGTCATCTTATATGGTCATATGTACATAGCCTTTGACCTTCTCTACTTGTCCTAAACATGTACTAGTCATTGCAAACAAGGGAAACCATGGGACCTATGTTTCTTTGGACCTGACTTAGTTCAGTTAATGTAACTTTTTCCAAGTCTTTCCATTTCCTAACAAATGATGCAGTGTCATTCTTTCTGATGGAGGCATAGAATTCCATTATATGTGTGTGTGTGTGTGTGTGTGTGTGTGTATCACATTTTCTTGATCCATTCATCTACTGAGAGGCATCTGGATTGGTTCTACATCGTAACTATGGTAATAATGCTGTGATAAACATAGTTGTGCTGATAGCTTTAGTATAGCTTTGTTTGTGATCATTTGGGTAAATGCCCCAAGGTGGGATTGCTGGATCATAGGGGAGCTCTATGTGGAGTTTTTTGAGGAACTTCCATACTGCTTTCCAAAGTGGTTGAACAAGTTTACATTCCCACCAACAATGCACTAGAGTTCTTGAGGGTTAATTTCAAACTCTGCTACTTTGCCAAAGTTTCAAATCAGCTCTAGTAATTTGGGAGTGGAGTCCATGGAATTCTTTAACTACAAGATCATGTCATCTGCAAAGCGGAGAGATTTTAAGGTGGTTTTTCATCCCCCTGTTGTTACAGTTAGGAATACATGTTGGGGAAGGGGAAGGTTAATGAAACACATTATAAACCTACATAGAAAGTAACAATGAATCCTTTCCTCCTATATATGTAAGTTAATAAAAAAATAAATAAATGCATAGAAATTTTAAGAAGCAAGGTTCATTAACCTCTTTAACTCAGAGGGTAGTAGATTTATAAAGAATTTTCCTAAGTGGCACTGTAGCTCAAGTGGTAGAGCGCTAGCCTTGAGTTGAAGAGCTGAGGGACAACGCCCAGGCCCAGAGTTCAAGCCCCATGACCGACAAAAAAAAAAAAAAAAAAAAAGAATTTTCCTTATTCCTGCATACAAGGCTTATATTAACTTGGGGAACAGAAATACATTAAACATACAAGAGAGCAAGCAATATTTAGCATATCATTCTACAATTTTTTTCTCTCAGACATACAGGGCACAAAGTATGTTAGAATCACTTAAAATAATAGTTGTTTGTTTACCGTGTTATAAGATACAATTATTTTGCTTAAGTAAAAAAAAACTCTTCCTTAAAATCAATTGCTTAAGAAAATGTTTATTAATGGCAGAACAGTGTTCTTCAGATAGCCTCGTTGGTATAGAAAAATGGAATGAGGTGTTAATTAAAATATCATTTTGATAACTCTTGCATTATAGCTTACCACACACAAATATGTTATGATATAGAAAAATAGAATGAGGTGTTAATTAAAATATCATTTTGATAACTCTTGCATTATAGCTTACCACACACAAATATGTTAAGAGCTCCTTATACTTTACTGTAAAACTTAGTAACTTTTGGGCTGGGAAGGTGGCTCAGTGGTAGAGTGCTTGCCTTGCATGCATGAGGCCCTGGGTTTGATTCCTCAGCACTACATAAGCAAAAAGAAAAAAACCAGAAGTGGCACTGTGGCTCAAGTGGTAGAGCGCTAGTCTTGAGCTGAAGAGCTGAGGGACAGCGCCCAGGCCCCACGACCGGACCCAAAAAAAAAAAACAAACAAACTTAGTAACTTTTATTGCAACTTTTTGTTCTATACTATTCTCTGTGTGGGGGTGGGGAGGGGGGAGGAGAGAATTTTTGCTCACCACTAACCATATACCACTTGTTCCACAGCTCCACTTCTGGATTGTTTGATAGTTAATTGGACATAAAAGGACCAAATCCATCCTGCCTAGGCTGGCTTTAAACCGAGATCCTCAGATCTCAGCCTCCTGAGTCGCTCAGATTACAAACATGAGCCACTGGTGCTCAGTCATCCTTTGTTTAGGGAAAATCCTTTGGGACAATGCTTACCCTACAAAATCGTTTTACCCAAAAGCATTTCCTTTTATTATCTTAAGAATTTGTATGAAGGGTTTCCATTCTACAGGTCAGTTTGTGAGTACAGTGCATATTCATCAATGTCACGCCTTTTATCATTCTCCCTATCTCTCCCAACCACAACAATTCCAATTCACCTTGATCATTTACATTCACTGAATAATGACTTCATTAACCCACCCTTCCTCTCTTTGTCTGACCCTCTCCCCTTGATGTTAGTCCCTTCCCTTACCAAGGCATATTGCAGCTTCCTAGTTGTCATTATGTTAAACTGTTAGTTGTTCAGTGGAGTTGCAGTATTAGAATCCTTCCCTGCACATACAATACTTCAGTGTGTGTGTGTGTGTGTGTGTGTGTGTGTGTGTGTGTGTGTGTGTGTGTGTGTGTGTGTGTAATTTAAGCCTTGCTGTCTTCCTGAGCCTTACTGACTTCACTAAACCTAATTTTTTTTCCAGGTTCACACATTTCTCTGCAAATATGTGTGTGAAATATGTATTTCCCAAAAATTCTATTTTCTTGATCCATTTGTCCATTGGAGGCATCTGGGAAGTTTCTATAACTTGTCTGTGATGAATAGTTTAGCAATGAAATAGGTATGCAAATAACTTTCCTGTACCCTGATTTGTAATTTTTGGATAAATGCCCAAGAGTGGTATATTTGG